AGCTGGGTAATATTGCTTACAGAAAAAAAAAAAAAAATGCGAAAGTAAATATAATTAAATGCCATTAATGCCATAACTCGGGGACTGATAAATATCAAGTAACAGCTTGCTTCTTCTTCTTCTTCTTCTTCTTCTTCTTCTTCTTCTTCTTCTTCTTCTTCTTCTTCTTCTTCTTCTTCTTCTTCTTCTTCTTCTTCTTCTTCTTCTTCTTCTTCTTCTTCTTCTTCTTCTTCTTCTTTATCATCATCGTCGTCATCATCACTATCTTCTGTTCCTCCTTCTCCTGTTTGTTCTTCTTTATAATCCCCCTCGTCTTCGTCCTCGTTCGTCTTTTCTGCACATATTTTAAAAAAAAAAAGAAGAAGAAGAAAGAAAGAAATATTGACATGAAGATGTAAATGATGATGATGCTGTGTCAACCAGAGTCACAGTTAATAGTCTGAAACTGAAAATTTCAAAACTTTTGAACACAGTGGTTTAACTGAGAACTTAAAATGTCATAACTTTTTAACACAATGGTTAAATGGTTAACATCATTGATGGGCTATACAAAAGAACATTTTGAGAGTCTTACAACTGCAATTATGTCTTTTTATTTCGTAATCAGTAAGGAAGAAAACCATGGCTTTCGAAAACGTCAGTGTTACAAGGCGGTTCTCGAATGATGATCAAGCAAGAAGATGGCAAATATTGGCTACAAGATTTTAACACCAAAGAAAACTGGCCCATAAACAGGTGTTTGGATATTTCTGTCTTTCCATACGAGAGTGTTCAACTGTAGTATACATGGGAGTCGCGGAGGGGGAAGGGTTGGGAACCCAGCTCTGACTAGGACATTAAAGTGATGTAAATGTATACAAATAATTGGATCCCATAGACACTAAAAATCACAGTAAACGGAGAGCCATTATAACAAGTAACAAGTTTTTCCTATCTAGGACACCAGGTGAAAGATGATGGAAGAAACGAAACAAAAATCAAAAAGAGAAAAGGAACGGTTAAAGCTATCTTCAACAAGATGAACAAATTACTGAAAGCTAGATAAACAACACACTAACAAATGAGAATTGTCAAATATTATGTATACTGAATCCTGCTGTATGGTGCAGAAACGTTGACAATCAAAAAACAGCTAACGTGGACAATAAACAATCAGCTAGAAAATAGAACTGAGTCTCTGGAGATGTGGGTATAGAGAAGAATATGTCCAATTTCATGGAAACAAAAACAGTCCGGTACAGAAGTTCTGGAAAGACTACAAATGAAAAGAGAATCAACGAAATAAGAAAAAAAAAAGGAAAATAAAAAGAGACAATTGAAATACTTTAGCCACATTAAAAGACAACGCTGTTACAACTATACTGGAGGAAAAAGTCGAAGGCAAAAGAGCAAGAAGTGGGCAACGATATAAGTGGGAGGACACCACTAGCTGGACTGGCAGCAGTATGTGAGAATGTACAACCAGGACAAGAGAAAGAGCATGTTGGAGATCCATTGCAGCCAACCTTCACTCTGGAGACGGTACCTGATTGAGTGACCCCATATAAAGAGAACAGGTCTCGCTAGCTTGGAATCGCATATACTAATCCTGAACACAAGAGACTAATTCCACTTACACAAACCACAATCACAAACTAAACTAGAAGCGCGGACAGATACGCACTCTCACCAAAGGACTAAAATACAGGACTTACTCATGTAAAGGACAGCATAACAGATATGTGGGGAAACGTATGCATTTATAATGGCACAAAAACTATTCAGCCATCACATCCGGTACGAATAATGGTTCTTTCGTAATATTCTCCCCTAGATGATGTCATAGGACAGTCTAACATTTTAGAGGGTGGTAAGACTGGGTTTCATGGCTTTCTGATGCTTTTAACGACCCCAAAACCTCTAGAACTGGTCCTAACCCCAACCCACCTACGTCCCATGAGAGAGTGCAGCCTAGGATCCACGACTGCATGCAGCCTAGGTCCCACGACTGCATGCAGCCTATCTACCACTTCCTGAAATATTAGACTGTCCCGTGACCTGTTGATTTCCCCTGTTTGGGGTAGGATATTAATAAAGCACCCAAATAACATATCTTGGTCAATACATATGGCACAAAGAAATCAAACAACTATAACCGAAGCTACTATCAGTAGACTGAATGAACGTGGTAGAGTTTCTTTCTTAACCCCGACGGACTAATTACAGCCCATATAGATACCAATTCTTCTCCTGCTTCTGCCTTTCTAACTCCCAATGGAGCATAGACCCTCAACCAACTCACGCCAAGTCGTTATGTCCTTCACTACAGCATACAGCACTCCCGATGTTCTCCCCATATTTTTAACTTCTCCCTCTAGATCCATTCTCTACGTTTTTGTCCTCCTTCTTCTACTAGAAAAGCCTCCACTCATTTTGGTTGGCTGGGTTTTTCATGTTTCTCTTTTTGACTTTTCCATGGCTTGTTTGTATTGTGGCTATTGTTTTTACAGGATAAGGTAGTCAATCTCGAGACCAACCTTACACTTAGTCGCCTCTTACGACACGCCTGGTAAGGTGCAGTGTTACGATGCTTTGCTTCCCGTGAGGGCCTCTGTAACACACGGGCGGATACCAATTAAAGCTGATGATTTTAATTAGATTTGATTGTTAAGTGCTGCAAATCTAAAATGGACTCCCCCAGAGTTTAAGTTACATGGGGTGGAAGTGGGAAAAAGGGGGGGGGGGCAGACTTAAGAATGTTAGAAAGGCTTAGGTGGGGTTTGGCATAAAATAGATTAGAAAACACTGGTTAGACAAACTATAATGGAAGTCTTAGTTCATTGAAGAAGAAGACAGAGTCAATCACTGCGAAGATAGACATTGAACATTATGTACACACCAGCACCACCACTATTCCTATCATCACCACCACCAATACTATAACCACTACTACTACTACTACTGTTGCTGCTGCTACTTCTGCTAATACTACTGCTACTACTTCTACTTCTACTACTACCACCACTACTTCTACTACTACCACTACTACTTCTACTACTACTACTACTACTACTACTACTACTACTACCACCACTACTTCTACTACTACTACTACTTCTACTACTACTACTACTACTACTACCACCACTACTTCTACTACTACCACTACTACTTCTACTACTACTACTACTACTACTACCACCACTACTTCTACTACTACTACTACTACCACCACTACTTCTACTACTACTACTACTACTACTACTACTACCACCACTACTTCTACTACTACCACTACTACTTCTACTACTACTACTACTACTACTACTACTACTACCACCACTACTTCTACTACTACTACTACTACTACTACTTCTACTACTACTACTACTACTACTACTACTAATACTACTACTACCACCACTACTTCTACTACTACTACTACCACCACTACTTCTACTACTACTACCACCACTACTTCTACTACTACTAACACCACTACTTCTACTACTACCACCATTACTTCTACTACTACTACCACCACTACTTCTACTACTACTACCCCTACTACTACTTCTACTAATACTACCACCGCTACTTCTACTACTACTACCACCACTACTTCTACTACTACTACTACTACTACCACTACTACTTCTACTACTACTACCACCACTACTACTTCTACTACTACTACCACCACTACTTCTACTACTACTACCACCACTACTACTACCACTTCTACTAGTACTAATAATACTGCTTGTTTAATTAAGTTAACACCAATACTTTAGAAATAAAGCATGACTATAAATTGCCTACAACATTGAATTCCCTGCCCAAATGAAACACCATAACGGTTTAGACAAACTTTCATGGAAGCTATAGTTCATGGAAGAAGAAGACGCAGTCCATGAATAAGAAGATGAACACATAACCTTATCTACACCCTAGGTATAACAACAACAAAAAACATGGGACACAACAACTGCTGAAAGTAATCGTCTTTTTGGTGACCCGTGGTAAGGTGACCGTTCTGAAGCAATTGCTGATAAACTACTAAATCCCTACCAGTAAGGAATGTATGCAACATCAGTTATTGTGACACTTTAACAAATAACGCTTCCGGCCGCTAGCGTAGTTGGTTAAACCTGACTTCGCTTCGCGACGACCGGGTGACGAACTTCTCGTGGTCCGGGTTTACGACTGGAGTAGGCAGAACAGCCAGATTTTCTCCCAGATTTACGGTATCTATCATGGAATCAAGGCCGAAGGGTTGCAATATCAATAGTTATGAGCCAGCTCATGGTTTATGGATATTAAAAAAAAAAAAAAGATATCGAAAAATCCTGTACGGAACAACACGACGTTTTACAGATTTCTTTTGTCCTTATGATTCTATACTTCTTTCACAATTTACCCGATGCTGCTGTTTTCTTAAAACGGCAAATGTGTTTGATTTGTGTTTGACTAATAATTTATGTACCCCTAAAAATAGAATATACAGTAGCTTTATTGACACAGGTCAACAACGTTTTTATTCCCACAACTTGTAATTCTATCGCTTTTATTTTATTCCCACATCTTTACATTTCTAAACATTCTTTCACGAACTCTTCGTTTCTCTCTCTCTCTCCCCCTTGTTGTACCCACACAAGCGAATAACACCCGATGACACAAAGTGCCACCATACGGATGGGAATCACCCGTGGAAAGGTCCCGGAAACCCCTTTCGGCCGTTATGCCATATTTCAAGCCCGGCTATATTTAGGGCCACCCGGCAAAAGCCCCCGGTGGGGATTTAAAAAAAACTAACAATTGCATCCTGCAAGGGGTTGACGAACAATAGAAGTAGTAACTCTTCGTCCCAAAAAGAAATAATTTTTCCAACAGCTTCATGCAAATTTCTGAGGTCAGAAGTTAAAGTTCGCCTATCAGCGGAAGTACTTGCTAGTGAAAAACCCGCGCCGGAAAAGCGGCAACGAAAAAGAAAAAGCGGATCGCCTGAAAACAAATCCAAGATGCCGCTTCTGATCGACAGCTGCAAGGAGTTTTTTCAGACTACCAACCTTTACGAGGTGTTAGGCGTCACTAAGGAAGCTTCTAAGCAGGAGGGTAGTGACATTGTTACTATATTTTATAGTTATCAGTTTTCATAGATATAATGAAATGATCCTAGAAAAAAGGCACCGGGCTCTGCGCAGTCTAAATAGAAACGAAACCGGCACTCAACACAGAGTGTCTATTAACTTTTAGTGATAGATTACAGTAGCGGTGAAAAATTATGTCTATAATATATGCGCTCGCCCCCCACCCACCCACCATATATTTTTACTGGAGCTAGAAAGACACAAGTCTTGTTTACACGTGTAATAATAAATAATGTGCTCAATGGCAAATGAAATGCAAATAATATTATTTAATAATTAATATAATGTATAGAACATACACTTAAAAACAACGGCTCTCCTTTAAATAATGGTCGCTAGCTGGAAAACCGACAGTCGCTTAGTCGGAGTTCACTCCCTTGGCTGCATTGCAAATACGTAGCGTAAAGAGGGAACGAAACAAATGACATACTTACCTGTCATCAACCCTACGGTTGTGTAGGGTTAGGGTGTGGGTTAGGATTAGGATTAGGGTTAGATTTGAAAAGTTTAACGCAGGAGTTCCAGATAATGGCCGACAATCTGATGCTTGTGGGAGTGGCGCCACTGGAATTCTCCTAAATATGACGGCAATAGCGCACGGCTGGTGGCCAATGGATGGCGAATTGTCCGTTTGAGTAGCATCCACAGTCCTTCAATTGTTTGGGTGTGTATGTCACTGTGCGTGATTATTTGGAACTCCTGCGTCAAAATTTTCACATCTAACCCTAACCCAAACCCTAACCCTAACCATGCAAACTTATCGGTCATTAAGGCATATAGATTTGCAGGAGTCACATCCGTGGCAACTAAGTCTTGGGTCGCAAGAACGTGGTTGCTAATGTGAGTCGGAGCTCGATGTCTAACTGCCATGTTGACCTTGTTTTTGATTCGTGACTTTTCCACTCCGTATTTGCAATGCAGCCAAGGGAGTGAACTCCCACTAAGCGACCGTCGAGCCAAAACAACCCATATGCATAGTTTGTTTGGGTGAAGGTGCCTAAGTCTTCTTTATATGCACATTAATGTTAATGAGCTGACTGGCAATATATTAAGTGTATATTCAAACACTTAAAAACGATTTCTATATATGGGCATCACTTAGCTCCTTAAAACTTTTTTTAGCACACTAAAAAAGTGGGGGGGGGGGAGGGGGGGGGGGTAATTACAACACATTCAGCCCTTATAGTTAATTATTCATAATTACCTGTGAAACTGAAACATTTTTTTTTTTGCCACTTTGAGGCAGATAGAGAAGTTTGCAAAAAAAAAATGACTTGGAAAGGACATTTGATGTAGTTGTCCATTTGTCTTTTTCGGATACTAGACCAGCCAGGTATATAAGTTTCCCCACAATTTGACAATGCCCAAACTCTGCAAAACTTAGTCACAAATAGTCATTTTACGCCTGAACAGATAATAAAGATAAAATGTTATTTACATATCCTGTATGGGGCATTACAAAAACCAGCATTTATTTGCTGTTCATCTTTTCACTAGACAGTTTTACTTCCAGTAGTTTCTTCTTCGCATTCGCTAGCTTTAAACTGGCGGAAAGTTCTGGCTGTTTGTCTATTTCTGGACATAAGTCTTGTTCCGAACCTGAGTGTTACCTGCAAATCCGTTTTACAGATCTGTCTAACTTGTATGCAGATTGTTGATTCCTTGCCTCTCAGGCAGATGCACTCTGACTTAGAAGAAACATTCAGTAGTTTGCCATTGTTTAATAAACAGTTGACGGCCCCTCATACCATTGTCTAAATTAATACAAAGAGATCTGCTGCCAAAGAAAAGAAATGTGTTACATAATTGGATGTTTTTACACGAATTTGAGGCCTCATGGAAATAATAGAATAGCCTGCTTTTTGCGATCGCTGTCGGATTTACACCGACAGATGAGTTATTGTCATAAAATTGACTGGTTTTTTTTTTTTTGGGGGGGGGGGGGGGGGATGTGTTACATTTTAGTTGTATATAACTCTCGAGTATGTAGTTGATTCTTTGAGCCAGTATTGCCTTTTTTAATGAGCTGTAACAAGGGACAGTGGCTTAGGTGTTGTGGAGAGCTTTATAATGCCGGAGTGCCAGGTTTGATCCCAGCTGCTTGTGATTTGGCGGCAGACTGCCTTGCATTGGTTTCGAAGTGGTATCGAGAGCCGACCGTCCGAAAAGCAGTGATAAACTGCTGGTCGTAAGTTTGCCTAGAGAAACCACAACAAACAAAAATGCTGGATTTGGTTCTGCAAAGTCCTGTAAAAGATAAGCAGCTGATTTTCAACAACAACAAAAAAGGTAGGAGGGGGGGGGGGGGGAACAGGCTTGCAGGGCATGTTCTGCAGTTTGCACACACAGCCCACATGGGCACAGTGGTGAACTACTTATGTGAAACCTGTGTGTATGCTGAAATAATAGCTTAAAATTGCTAAAATGGAAATAGCTAAATATTGAAATTTTCCACTTGACCTGCTAGTATGACATTTATGTTGTGATTTTCAGTAAAGAAAGGTTACTACAAGAAATCTCTGGCCTACCACCCGGATCGAGTCTCTGACACAGACAAAGATGTTGCCACCAAAAAGTTCCAGGTTCTCAGTCAGATCTACAACATTCTGTCTGATGATGGACGCAGGGCAGAGTATGATGAGACGGGTAAAAGGAAATTATTGTTAGTTAGTCTTTCCTCTTAAACCTAAGGGAGTGCATAGGGCAGAGGTAATAGTTCTCCGTGTCTGGCGGTTTGTTGCCACCTGTTTTAGGTCTTGGACGTTCATTCGGCCCATGGTTGAGCCTTTCCCGTTGATAGTACTATGCAGGATATCTCTTGGTCTTCCCGCCCCCCCCTCCCTCCCTTTCCGGTGTCCATATGAGGGCTTGATGGGGAAGTCTTGTCTCATCCATTCTGAGTGCATGGCCGATGTAGTTCCAACGGCGCTTTCTTATAAATTTGGATAGGTTATCTTGCTTGGTCTTCTGTCTTATTTGCGTATAAGATCTTGAATCTGTCCAGTGGACATCTGTTCTCAAACTTGTCAAAAAAAATTTTAACCTAGGATCATAAATTATTGTGAATACAGTTAATTAATTAGCCACCATATTATCTTTATTGCACAATGGATTACTCAGTCCACAAGTGCTCAGATAGTCCTCCTCGATATATCCCCCAGCAAGTAGTCTCTGGCGAAACCAGTTCTGTGTTAGTTTATAAGGACATGATTCACCACAGGATTTGGGAAGACCATGTGTTTTCTCTTACCATAGTACGGGGTTTTTAAGATAAAACAGTATTTTTTTTTAATGTACAGAAAAGTATATGTTATTGTACAACTAATGGAAGATGTTGCCAAGCGAATGGCCATTTTATTTGTTAGTATTATTCTTTGTCGCCTGCAAGTGTTCTTGTATAGCCTCTCTCCTTTTCACTTGCTCTTCTTGCAGACTGGTCAAAGTTGCAGATTCACTCATCACCTGATCTGTGCAGACATCTTTCTGTCTCTGAGGATTTAGTATATCAGCTGGCCGCATTGCGGGCTCACCATCCAAAGTGCTCTTGTCCGCCCTCTACAGTAAAGTAAAAAAGTAAAGGACCCTTTTCCACGCCTTTAGGCATATAGGGCTAGACCTATATTTTATAGAGCAATCGGCACAAGATGGGTAATGTCAGCATCACACCGGCCGCCTTTACTTCCCGGAGCTGCAGCCGGTACCCACTCAAGGCTGGGTCAACCTGGAAACCAAAGGTCATTTTTTGAAAAAAGTCTGGCTCTGCCAGGGAGCGAACCCACAACCTTACGATCCGCAGCAATCGTCTAGCCGCTGTGCCACAGCGACTCCCCCTCAACAGTAGCCTTGTGATAATGTTTATTAGTTTGTTCATTTTCTCCTCGGAGACACCAAAAATTTTTTTATTATCCTAAGCATACTCGTTATTGGGAACATAATGTTTGTTAGTTAAAGTTAACATGTTTAGCTAAAGTGATTCAGTTTATATCGTCTTATGTTATGCTCACTAGCTGTTGAATGTGGCAGTAGTATTTAATATTAGATTATGTTTTTTTTTCCCATATATTTCCTAACAGCTGCTATAAAACTTGATGAATGTAATAGTTAGAGCAGTGATTCCCAAAATGTGCGCCCCAGGGAGCCGTGACCTCTTCACAGGGGCGCCACAAAATATTCGAAGATACACAAGTTTTTTTTTTTTAAAATCTCTTACATAAGAATACTTTTACTTAGGTTAGGGCACTGTGGAAAGTTTTTAATAAAAAAAAGGTGATGCGACTAAGAAAAGTTGAGAAACACTGATTTAGATTATAAATCTAGGCAGTTCATATATTATATAAGTATTATTAGCAGATGTGTGAGGCTCTACACGTGTTATTAGCATACCAGTTTTTTGGCTACAGAGAAGAGAGTGAGTGAGAAGTATATTTAAAGGCACTGCGTGTGCTGAATAGTAAAACCAGCTGCTGATTGGTTATGACGAGTATAGGTTGACTGCGGTCGAGCTAATACCAAGAAGAACTAAATACAATGCAAACTATGAATAGAAAGGTTGGTACTAAAATTTTATTTCACCCCATCTCTGGAAATCCAAGTGTTCACAGGAAAAGACCAGTATCATGGTGGTTAGGGTCAGAGTTTGTCAGTGCTTATTTCACACAGTAACACCCCTGTACTGTTAAGCTTTCCGGCGAACTCTGAGATTCCCCGAGATGGGGTGAACCAAAAAATGAAAGGACTGAGAGCTCAGCAGACGCAATCGCCGCTCACTCTAGGAGCTGGTTAGGGAGACTAGTACTTGTTTTTTTTTTCAACGAACCAACGAACGCAGAGGTAATGGAGAAGATGTAGATAATTACAACTGAATGTTTCGACCAGAATGTTTGGAGCAGAGTCTTTATTAACAGAGTACTAATTACAACAAAAACTGATATTCCAGCAGAGATTTCATGTTAACCTTGGTTGTTTACAATGGTTCCCTGTTGACCTTGGTTGTTTACAAAGGTTTCCTGTTTATCTTAGTTGTTTACAATGGTTTCCTGTTTATCTTAGTTGTTTACAATGGTTTCCTGTTTACCTTAGTTGTTTACAATGGTTTTCTTATGACCTTGGTTGTTTACAATGGTTTCCTGTTTATCTTGGTTGTTTACAATGGTTTCCTGTTGACCTTGGTTGTTTACAATAGTTTCCTGTTGACCTTGTATGTTTACCAGCTCTGTTATCTTGCCTGTTGAGTTTTGTAGTCACATTTAGGATTTTTTTTAAAGTTTTCTGTTTGCTCAAGACTTTGATTTTTATGTTTAGTTGTATTTGTGCACATCTTTTCCATTCTTTCTGTTCATCTGTATGGTCCCATTTTGTGTTGTATTTAGTACTTAGTGATTAGTTGGTCTGAACTAAGGCGTTGTCCAGGTAGGATGCAGTAGAAATGCTCCTTACGTTTCTGGTGTATAGCAGTTTCCTCTTTATAAGGACATGATTCGTCACAAGTTTTGGGGAGACCATGTGTGGTCTCTTACAACAGTACAGGGTTTTTAAGATAAAACAGTATTTTGTTGAATGTAAAGAAAAGTATATGTTATGGTACTACTAATGGGAAATGTGGCTAAGCAAATAGCCATTTTTTTAAATAGTGTTCTTGATGCAGCTTTAGATTTTGATTGAGCATGTAGGAAATAAATAAGTATTAAAGACTGTTAGGTGGAATTAGTAGACAGAACATTTTACATCACCATCATCATCATGTGAAGTGCTTTGAAGTTGTTTGTGACCTTTCACCCGCCGCTGTTTTTGACTGTTTGAAGTTAGTAACAAGTTGGATTGTTACTGTTAGACAGCTTTTTTGCCTGGTTTATGTTGCAATCGCAGAACTCTGTAAGACAAATGCTTCAGCGGAGAAAGTAAACCTGGCCCTTAACCGATGATTACCCAAATCCTACCATTGGATGTGTTGGTAGCCAGCAGTGTTTGATTTCTAATCCGTTTATTAGTTTAATTTTCATCTGTTTCATGAAGGGCTGCCTCATCCGTTTTACATTAATCTTTGTCAGCTCACAGCACCAGCATGGCTGAATGTAATTTATGTCACTCATGGCTCTATCGCATTTGTTTTTTGTTTCAAAGGAAGTGTTGGTGAGGAAGTCATACTTGACGAAAACATGGACTGGCAACAGTACTGGAGACTCCACTTCCGAAAGGTCTCCATCAAAGATATTGAAGAATTCTCGCAGAAATATAAAGGTAGAGTTTTAGATATACTGTTATTTTGAAGAAAAATGTATAGTTACTAAGAAGGAAACTAGACAGTATAATTTTAATAGTGAATTTGCTCAGGACACCCACTCCCTCTTTTTCCCTACCCACTGTGTGCTTAAAAAAGTGGTAAGATAAAAGCAGTAATGGCAGTTTTAAGAAAACAAAATACTTCTTAAACTCTTTCAGTGGCAAACAATGCACCAGAGATATTATTTGTGTGCACCAGTCTTTTGTATATTTGTGCATCTTATGTATAGTCAGGCACACTAAATTAGTCATTTCTTCTGCCTTCTATCCCTCAATTTACATACCAGGTTATTCTGTCCTTCGCTGTTGCATGCAGCTGTCCCCATATCCTCCCCCATCTTTTTAACTTTACTCTGTAGCTCCTTTCTGCATGTTTTTTTTTGTGTCTTGCTTTATTTATGTGCCCCTATGGGTTCCAATGCAAAGACATTGAAGCTATATTGTTCTCAGATTTTCTCATCTTGTGACCTGTCTAATGCTAGTATATTTTCTTCACTTTTTGGTCTACTGGAACTTGTTTAATCTGTCCCAATGCTCACCATTATTGATTCTGTCACACCATTTAATTCCGTCTATTCTGCGCAGACACTAGTTAATGAATGTTTGTAATTTATTAGTAGTTGCCCTAGTTGTAGTTAATGTTTCCGCTTCATACAACAGTACTGGTTGTACTGGTTTGACTGTAGAAATAAAAATGTTAAGTTTAAGTATTAGTTTTAATTTCTGTCAACCTCAGCAAATTTCCTAGTGCTGTGAAAGCTCCTCTTGCGTTTTTTGTTCGTATTTTAATATCTCTATCAGTTTCCCCCATCTATATCTATATTACTGCTCAGTGGGATACCATTAAGAGTAACCAGATTACTATTTATTCTCATTATTTTTGTTCTCTCCCTTATGGATTGTTAGGCCTAGCTTCTCACAGAAATATAAAGGCAGTTTTAAATATAGTGTTATTGTGAAAGGTGTCACTTACTGCTCCTGTCACGTGCCTGATTTTAGGATTTCTCCTTAAGAACCAACAGCACTCTGAAATAATTATGTTGAGTTGTTGGCTCGTATTGGTCTAAGGGATATCCCGTGGCCAATATACGCTCAACTTATTTCAGGAGTATGGCAACTCAAACTTTGGCAATACAAAATTTATAATATTCCTAGGCACACTTGGCTGGACACCCCCACTACTATAAAAAGGTAGCCCCCAGGTTATGATAGTATACTATCATAGCCATGTTAACACAGATTACACTTATTATTCACACAAACATAAAAGCTGGACAGTTAGAATGGTGAAACAGGGACACCCAAGTCAGCCATGAACATTTTTGCATGTAATAAGTACAAAATAAATACAAAAATAAATGACTTGATAATCAGTGAATGAAGTTCAGGAATCAATGACACAACCCAGATATTGAAGCAGCCAAATGTTCTTGATTTTTACATGAGTTCATCATCGAAATCACAAGGTGCTGTGGGAAGAGAGCATGATTGTAATTAATAGATCACTTATCCCAGTTCGTAGGTCCCTGCTGTCCTCAGTCCATGGTGATTTGACTGTGGATGATTCAATAGGTAGCTATGCCTCGATTTGATCTGGTACAAGTTGACTGTCTTACAAATGAGGACACAGGAACTACATAGGAACCCAACAAGCCTCTTGGAGACTGTGGTGCCCGCTGACTCTCTCACAGGTCAGGACACAAGAACTGCATCAGAGCCCAACAAAGCTCTTGGTGACTGGTTCTCTGGATTGATGACAGAGGTGTCTGCAATTGACCACTAGTCCTGGAACTCACAAACAAGCTCTTGCCATGTTGAGGTAGTGGCACAATGGGCAGGACTTTTGGGTATGCTTGGTGTTCAGAATGATATGGGCTAGTGGTTGTTGGCTGGACTGTGATTCGTCTGCCTGATCTCTAAGGAGGTATCATCCTGTCAGGAAAGAACTCAGAATTAGTAATCACTTTAATCACACAGCAGCTCACCCCACCTCTGCTACCCTTCTCTATTCCTCAGAGTGTAACTCTCAAGAACAGGAGACAATGTCTCCTTTCATTTATCTGTCTGTAAATTAGTGCAACAGATAGGAAACAAGGTATATAGTGGAGATAGATAAACACTACCACACATAGATCATCCTCTCTCCACCCTCACATCTGCACTCGCAGACATACAATGTATACAGTTAGTACCTATATAAATCTCACGTCTCCACAGGCTGTCCACTACACACCCACTGAATCTGTGTCACAAACACTTTTGACTCAGAGCGTCTAACTCTGACGTTACAGCAGTTAACTTAAAAGATGACCCAGTTTCCATATCTCTTGTTAGGAGGCACAAAACTTTGTTTGTCTAGTCAGAGAATAATTACTTGTAGGGTTTAATATCTTTACAAATGGTGTGGGTTGTGTAGAGCACAAACTATTTAGTCTGCACGGGGAAAGGTTTACAGTTCGGAGCCTGATCTCTGGACATCAAGAACGGCCCAACTCTGTTCGATCAAACAGCTGAATCTTCCCTCTCTGTAGCAGTGGCTAACTTTAAAAAGACATATATTATGGTACTCGTAAACTATAATCAACTTACCCAAGCTTAGGAAATCTTCCAATATAGAACTGGTACTTTGAATGCGCCAATTTTCTATATAGACTGTATACACGTCTTGACACTTAGGAATCAGGCGAGAGAATGCCGCTAAAATCTAAACTCTGCGTCTCTAGGAAAGAAGTCCCCTGTATTCATGCCCAAGGAGTAAACCGGCTTACAGGAATTTCTGAATTAAACACCAGAAATCTTCAACCTACAGTTGCAAGTTTGAAAATGAAGATTTATCAAAGCAACTAGAGGGTCTAGAAATGAATATATTACCAGATAGAGGTATATATCAATATAAGGGACTATATACCCCTCTGGACGAGTTTAAGTTTGAAATATGACTGCCCGCTTAGGGAAGTCACCATCACGACTCGTCCATCGTGTAGGGTTGGCTGCTCACTTCACGACAAAAGGGGGGGGGGGAGGGAGAGAAACCATAGTTACTAAGAAGGAAACAGGCAGTGTAATTTGTTGGTGGTTATAGGATAGGCTCAAGACAGTCATTCCCTCCTTTTCTCTACCCACTCTGTCATTTAAAAAAGGGGTCCGATAAAAGCAGTAATGACAATTTAAGAAACAAAATACTTCTCTTTAACTTTTTCAGTCCCAAACAGTCCACCAGGTGGAGGATATTACTCAAATGCACCAGTCAACATGTTTTGTATTTTGGTACATTTTAAGCTTAGTCAGGCACACTAGATTAGTCCGATAATGTGGCCAAAATACCTCAGCTTTCAGGGCCTAATGCCAGTTCTCCTCAATGCTCAGATCATGCAACAAGTCCTAGTATTTCTTCAGTTTAGTCTGTAAGATTTCAGTTCAAAAGCTTCACTGCTTTTCTTCGTGACTGAGTAAGAGAGATAACACCATGGACAGAGAAGATTAAAATCATCATGATGTTTTGAAAGAAATTAATTAGCAGAATGAACTGATTATCTTCATAAAAAGTAAACAATACACATTCTTATGTCATGCCATTAAAGAGGAAACACAGTTCTTTGTGACAATAGGATTGCTTATGATGTGTTCATAGCTATATTGTGGTAATCCCAGGTTTTGTGTGTGAGCGAAATGGCTTTTTTTTTTAAAAGCCAAGCCGATGTTAGATTTTCTAATAAGCCTCATTGGTAAAGGCTAGTGGGTCACGGCATAAGTTATGTGTTTTTAGGCCCCGAGAGATGTATTCCATTTATCGTTTCTGCCTGTTCATGGTTATTGATTACTCCTTCCATATATTTTTATTTATTTTAAAAAATAATTAATTGTAAACTGTCGATGAATACATTTTTAACGATTTATAAGGGCATGCTTACAAAGTGTTGTTTCGGCAGATTTTTTTCTGGGAATCCTAACAAAGTCATGGCTTTTTTTTAAAATAGAATTTCTGGGGCGAAAGGATTAACTTGTTGGTTTTTGGACAGTGGTATGAGAGTTGCACTGTGGAAGAGATTAGGACCATGCCACGGAATATTTCCAAAGATGAGAGTGGGTGAACTGCAGCCAACCTTCCTGATGATGAAAACACACATTTGTTGTTGTTGTTGTTGTTGTCTAATAGCAAATCTGAGATGATTGATGAAACCCATCTGCAGGTTCCAGTGATGAGCTTGAGGACTTAAAGTCTGTCTACCTCTCCAGCGAGGGAGATCTGGAAAACATCATGAATACCATGCTGTGCAGCAGCTACGAGGATGAGCCTCGGTTTGTTAAGATACTCACTGACCTCATCAAAGAGGGAACATTGCCAGATTTCCCTGCCTTTTCCAAAGAGAGCAAGAAGAAGAAAGCAGCCCGTATGCAGAAGGTAATGTTTACAGTTTGCTTGAATGTTTAGTTAATGAGAAAGTTCATTGGAATGTTTAAATTTTTTCAAATACTTTCAGTTTATTTAAATTTTTGTCATTAAAAAAACAAACATTTAGTGGTTGTTTAAAGTTGTTTTTGGCAGTAAATTATTCTATTGAGGCAGTGTTTCCTAATTGTAAATTTGAATACAGAAGACACAAACAATAGTTTGCACAGTTTATTGCCTGGAATATTTGGCTGTTTCTCGTCAGGGGCATACTACAGTTGTTTATTTAGCATACTAATGTATGCATGTGACGAGATACAGCAACATAAACCAGGAAAATTTTTTAATCTATTGTTTGCGTCTTCTGTATTCAAATAAATAATTTGTTGTGAATAGTTACAAACAAAATTTGTTTAACACTGTTGTCCTGTCAGCATTATGTCACCAGTGCTGAAATTGGGTTGTCCCAACATCAGCTAAAGGAATAATTAACAACAAAGATTCATCATTACATCTTCTTTTTTCTTTGTTCACCAACTGTAAGCTCTAGCAGAAGTTCCTCGTTGTCATCCATTCGGACTTGGCTTTATGCTTGAGTTTTGTGTGTACATCCATTTTACTGACTTATTTGTGTGCAGTTGGTTGTTCCTTGCTGCTCGGGCAGATGCACTCTGACTTTGAAGAAGCTTCCAATTAGTTGATTTTTATGACATGTTTGGTGGGGTGGCAATGGGTCTATTCTCATTTTCCCTACAATATGGCCCTGGAAACCTCACAGGCAATCATTATATCAAGTACCGTGCTGGAAATATGTGTGATCGTCACAAAGTGACCTTTTCTTCATCTTTGCATTCACCGGCTGTATACTCCAGTGTAAAGTTCTGGTTGTTCATCCACTTCTCGACTTCAGTCTTGTTTCAGAGAATGACTTTTGCATGAAAATCTGTTTTGCATGGCTGGCTTATTTGTGTGCAGACTGTTGGTTTGCCTTTCAGGCAGATGTACTCTAACTTTGAAGAAAACATCCCTAATTAGTCAATTCTGTGCTGTCTGTCTTTGTCAGTTGATGAGAAGGAGAATTCTCAAGAGCTATGTAAATCCTATTCTGATATACAGAAGGAAATCATGGACTGTTTGATGAGTGGTGAAAAATTATTTGGAAGCGGCAGAGATGTGGTTTTTTAGACGAATAATCAGAATACTCTCGACAGTTAAAGAGAAAAGTAAACATGTCTTGAAAGAAACTGCCTCACAAAGAGAGCTGACTGCCTACTTCAGAAGAAGAATATCTACATACTTTGATCATGTCCTGAGAATGAGAAAACTGGAGTACATTGTGACACTGGGAAAGTTGGAGGGGAGAAACAGGCAGAGGGAGGCCACGAGAGAGATGCTGTACAGTTTGACATCAAGGCAGGGATGATCATCTGTGTCAGACTGATTGAAGGCTCATGAGACAGAAGGTTGTGGACAGACATGACTACCAATGCCACATAGCTGTTAGAAGAATTCACATGTCAAGTCCGTATTCGTGTCCTTTATTACACACAAATTCCCAAGGACTATAAATCTAGTTTGTGTTTTTAAAAAAACAGTTAATTCTAGCTGGGGAGTAATAATAATAATAGTAATAATACATCCCTGCTGTGACAACAATTTTGTTGAAGCCATCGACACTACACCCAAAGAAAAAGCAAGATAGATAAATAATCGAACTGCTTCTGTCACAGTCGGATTTGAACTGTTTGCTGGCTGCTAAAGATGGGGACAGAGTGCTTTTTCAAATAGGACAGTGGGGGGACATTTCATTTGCACTGGCACAGGAACGGAGCAGGTTGGGGGAGGGGGGGGGGGGTTCGATTGCAGTGAATTTGAAACCTCGACTAAGGCTAATTGTTATATTCTTTTTCTTCTGCGTACATCCTAAGGCATAAATGTGTTGTGTCCGTTTACAACATGACTGTGATGTTTGTGACACATCCCACTTCTGCAGGCATTTGTTGTCCTGGTTAGCCTTCCTGGTAATTTTTATGTAAGTTCAGTTTATTCTTTGGGCCAATATTTCTGTTATTCTATTGATAGGCTCGAGCAGAGGCCAAAGAAGCAGCAGAAGAGGCAAAGAAACTGAAACTTGATGACACACAAGAATCTTTGGCCTCAGCGATTCAGCAGAGACAAGCTTCTCGAGCTGCTCAAGCTGATAATTTCTTTTCTCAGTTGGAGGCTAAATATGGAGGAGCCTCAAAAACAAAAAAGAAAGCGAGTAAAAAATCAAAATGATGTGATTTGAAATTATTCCGCTGTTTAAAATACTGATATACAAAGAAACAAGTTCGAAGAGAAATGCAGCTCTTGGTAACAGCATTTTAGTTTTGTTTTGATTCTTTATATCCCAATAAGCTCACCGTATCAGGGCTGTTCAACTGGCCCGCGGTTAAATCTGGCCCGCAGAGGCTTAGTAAGTTGCCAGGGAAATCATTGCCGGTTGTATTGTGTTAATGTTCTTTCTGTGCTGGGGCTCAAGCTTTTGGCCCATGACAATTGCCATTTTTAAAATGTTGATACCAGTGTAAACTTAACTAAATAGCCCTGCACTATATGTTCATTGTTTATTCCATCTAGCACTTTATATCAGGCAAGGCACACAGGTTGTTGGTTCTTGAAATTAATGCAAGTCTGAACTGAAAGAAGATCATGTTTTCTAGGTGTCGGCATGGCTGCCTGTTGATAAGTTCAAAAGGTCATGTTTAACTTTCCCACTGATCACAAAAATCACTGATCAGGTCAGTGGTCTTGTCTTGCCCGATCCAGGTGGTCAGACCATTCAGGTACTAGATTCCTACCCACACAGGACTGCAGGTTACACTGGGCTGGTGTAGTTGTTTTTACGGGTGCCATAATGATTTCTTCCTTAAAGATTAAAGGGGGAATCTGCGTACTGTCTTCTTGGTCTGCTGTCCACTTCGAGATTGTCGTTATTTTGGGATGGTATGTTAAAATAAGAAGTAACATCATAGCACTCGGGACACTCCTATAAGTGCTCCGTCTCTATCTTCAGCAGCAATTTCGATGGTAGCAGTAGCTGTCTGATTGACATTTGTCTTATCTTTCCCTTGATTGTTGAGCATCGGCCAGATTTGCAGCGCCATTCTCCTTAGATAGTAATTATTCCTTACTGTTCACTCGCTCCCAAAGGGCCTTCACAACATCTAGCTTGTCATACATCGGTTTACCACCAAGTGGTGCAGAACCTGCCAGTCTGTCTGTCTGCTCGTTTCCCAACACACCAGCATTACCTGGAGAAAATATCCAAAGGAGGCTAATCACCCGGGACCAATAAAGCGATGCCTGCCACTCCAGGATGGTGTGTTGAATCTTTAAGTAGCAGCATGGAAGGGACTAATGGATCGATGGGCTAATTCGGGTATTTATCCCTCTGGTGTCTCCCTGCTTGCTTTCCATCAAGTTTTTATCAGTTATCCTTTTGGTGTCTTCTTGCTTGCTTTCCATTGAGTTTTCGTCAGTAATCCCTTTGGTGTCTGCTTCTTGCTTTCCATTGAGTTTTCATCAGTTATCAGCCTCCTTTAACACAGTTTCTCATGTTGTGATGACCCCCACCATACAGTTATTTTCGTTGCTACTGCATAACTTCAGTGAATATGTGTTTTCCGATGGTCTTGAGTGACCCCTCTGAAAGGTTCATTCAACCCTCAAAGGGGTCGCAACCCACAGTTTGAGAACCTCTGCTCTTTGGGGAGATGTGAACCAGAGAATTGTAGACCGGATCACTGAATCACCTCCTTTCATCATATAAAATCTTCAGCTAGAAAAGGGAGCAAGCCAATATCTGGCCACACATGGCGCATTTCCTGCTCAGAGGGATTCAAACTAGCCACGGTTTCAGACAATATAATTACCTGGCACCTTGTACATGTTTGTATATGCTGGTTGTGTGTGTATGTGACTATTTGTCCTTGTGTGTATGTGACTATTTGTTTGCCTTAATTTTCTTTTATCTGTGACTTCTTTGTTCTGGTTTGTCTATTATAATCCGTTTTATCGTTTTCCTGTTTTTTTATGTAATGAAATCTGAAAATGTAACTCTGTAAGTCAAGGGACATAATACCTGGATTGTTTTTATTATTAATTCCTTGGCTATTTCCCTTGCCTTCAAAATTAAAACTTGTTCAAAAATCCTTCGTCAGTGCTATGACTTTTGTACATTACCAGTTTACTTGTAAAGATGTCACGTGTACGGTGGAAGTGGTAACTGGGGAACCAGATTTGTTGAGAATCCACTCCGATTTAAAGTCGAAATGTTCGGCTTCATTACACCGTAGAGAGGGTTCCATGGTCACCTGGGGAGGGGGGGGGGGGGGAAGGACCTACTACTTTCAAGCATGTCGTCAAAGATGACTAATTAGGGATGTGCTCAAACCGGACGTGATTGGCCGAAGGTCGCAGATATCATAGTCTGTCAGTAAACGAAAACACAACGTGCAACCCTTCCTACTTCAGAGCGAACGCTGAAGAAAGGGAAGTTTAAATCCTATAATTAAGTCTAAAGTGCATACAAAGCAAAGTGTTCGTTTTGTATAGGTAATCAAAACTCAAGGTGCGTCGGCTGCTTGCTTCTAAAGGCATAGCCCGTGATGAATGAGATGTTCAGTATATGGAGGCGATGTTCGACAGTCAAGAGCAAAACGTGACGATTCTTTGGGTGAGCCCAGCACCAGAACTCCATGTATTGACTCTGCATTTATGGGAGCCTCCTTGAAAGGTGGGGGGATGCTCACGTTCTGCTCCTGCCTTCTCTTCAAGGTTGACAGGCTTTAAATGGTTGTCCTTGACCGGTCTTTATAGGGACACCACCTGTGAACTAGAAGACAAAGATGTCCTACGAAACTAAGCAGCAAGGCTGGCTTGGGCAACTTATGTCTGCAGAAGTTGGATACAAGAAGTTGAAACCTCTAAATGTTTTTTAAAAAAAAAGAAAGAAACCCTGCATCATTGCACACGGTTATAAACCATAAGTGCTCTGCCACCAGTACGGACAGCTAATAAGAAACTGTATCGCCGTCCGCACGCAACCCCGTAGCTACAGTGACGCTCCTCCATCTACCCCAGTGTTAACTCTGGTACCCATTTCCTAAAAGCTGGGTCAACCCCAGGAACCGTCCGGTTTCGAACACCGGTCGTGTGCTGCAGCGAGTGGCAGCTGGATTTGAAAGCGAGTCTCCTGTCGACTGCGCTAACGCGACCTCTAAATGTCATAGCTCCTACTCATGAATTGATGACATCTGTACCAGAGAAGCTTGATCTGATAACAGCCGCCATGTCCCAGCATAATACGACGTGGAAGAGCAAAATCAGCATCGCAGTCAAGGTCAATATTTACAAATCCCTGGTATGATCTATTTTCTTAAACGGATGAAGGAATTATATTGTTACTCTGGAAATGGAAAGGGGGATTTAGGCTTTCGAATGTAAATACTTTAGGGCGCACTTTGCGACTTTGTTATTTAGAACATAAAATTAACAAATATGTCAGAGACAATATACACATTTGCAGGACATTGGAGCCTCTCTTGGCAGTGGTGAAACGTCGCAAGGTAGCATGGTGTGGGCACGTGGTGAGACATGATTCGATTGCAAAGACTGTACTTCAAGGAATAAGAGGAGGGTAGAGAACCCGGAATGTTAACATCAAGAAATGGACAGGGCTAAGTTATAGACTAATGAAGCGGAAGACAGAGAAGAGTGGCGGGTTTTTATGTGCTGGTCGATACACCTCAACGACATTAGCGGGTCAAGGGTTATATTATGTTAAGTTCCAAGTTGGAAACGTCGGCCGAAAGGCCTTTATATCATCAGATGGATGAGAGACACACACAGGTTAAGTGTCATTGAAAGCCACACAGAATGCTTATCACTGTTTCCTTGTGAACAAAATGAACAGTAAGGATTGACGTTTGAACAACGGATCAACATCATGGCACAGGGGTAGTAACGCAGAAGTGCTCTGTTCTTCTAACTCATGTCGGAGCCAGAAGAATCTCAGCACAGTGCACATGCTCTGTTGCACTAACGAGGATCCTAAAATACTGTAGGTAGATTTTAAACTGAAAATTGTTTCCCAGGCATCACCGTTATGCTACTATTTTCGATTTCCAGCTACCAAGGGATTTTTTTTTTAGCTGCGCTACAATGCGCACAGGCGTCCGATCCCGCTATCCACAGACCTGGGGGAATTATTAGAAGTCCACGAGAAAAAATCCTAGCCCTTACCGGGAATTAAACCCGGCCTCTCTATCACTCGAGGCGGACACCATGCCTCGAAACTATGCAGTCCCTTCAGTTTCAGTAAAGCCTATCAGACTGGATGACGTTGTACCCGTCGTTCCCTGTTACATACAAGTTATACCATTGAACCGGGTTTCTTTATTTTTCTCCTCTTGGATTAGCACCAGATTAGCGGCTCTTTGAGTTACATTGTGTTAATATTTCAGGCAGTAATCATGGGTAGGAGAAATTAAAACATAAAAAGTAAAAATGATCAGCACCACACTTTATCGGCTATAAAAAAAATCCCTTTATACTAAGACGTGCAACTTTATATTTATGCACGCTAAGTCTTAAAAATCAGTTGGCATGTTATGTTGTGGTTTATAGCTAGATCGCGATAACTTGTCCTTTCTGCCCACATCGCTTTTTTTCTTTTTACGACATGTGCGTTAAGGGACAGTTGGTCTATTCACCCACCCCATGGGGCACCGGGACCACATATAGAGCAAACGTTAGAGTAATAAGGCTGTGGAACATATCCAATATGTAGGTAGGTAGATATGTAGTTGCTTTACTGGGGGGGGGGGGGGAATCGTCGCATTCAACATGTATCCCCAGAGGGGGAAGCTGTAGGTTATCATTATGCCTAGATTGTGTGCACCATATAAAGTGGCTTAGCTTAAATGTTAGAGACAAATTCTTTGAATACCTTGGACCAGGAAGAGGAAAATGTCGACATCCTGTGTGACCTGAACATTAAGGAGAACTGGCTCATAAAAGGCATTCTCTGTCGTAGGCTAAAGTCTTTTGGATGTGTCAAGCGCCATGGAGGTCTGGAGAGAACGGTGGTGGAAGGTGTAGTTTCCGGAAGACGAGACAGAGGCCGAACTCTGCAAAGATGGACACAGGACACTGAAGATGAATTGGATATGAAAGCACATAACGCTGGAGAATTGTCCAGAAAAAGAGAGAATTCCAGGCGATGTTCTTTAAAG